TTGCAACATTAATTGAAAATTACTAAAATCTGATTCTATAACAACGTTCAGTGTTTCTTGTTGAAACTCGTAATATATAGCATTTTACAAAGTTCAATGCCTGTTGCAAAATATTTACTTTTTTGCAACGTTTACTGAATGTCGCGAAAATGTTTGAAAATTTTTACTTTTTGCAACGTTCGTTAAATGTTGTGAAAAGTAGTTCACAATCCACGATCCAACCAAAATTCACATGGCCCAAAAAAAAAAGAGAGGGAGAAATAGACACCGAAGGGGGCTGTAAAGAGAGTGGCAAAATGGGGTATGAAGGAAAACTGAGACAAGAAGTAGAAGAGAGAGTAATGACTACATATTTTTTCGGGTCATACACAGAAGAGCCCCATGCCTCTCGAAGAATTCAGACCTCTCTCAGTATCCTCAAATTCAACAACTCTTTGGCTGTGACCGCTTTGTTTTCCTCATAGATGTGTATAAATTATTAAAATGTTGTATTTACCCTTAATGGCATTTTCTGATGTTATACCAAAATTGGTTTGGTCAATTCTGCAATTAGGTTTCATAGCTAACTTGGTGAAATGGTTCATCTTTGCAGAGCATAATACGATGTGGCGGAGAATTAGATGATGATATGAAAAAAATTATTGTGGTTCAGTTACTCTGTCTCGATGCAGTTGATCCTCATCCTACTAAGGTATGTTTGCTTGGGTCTTGTTGCTGTATGAAGAATTCAAGATTTGTTTTTTTTCCAATTCTAATAATTCATTATTTAGTATTCCAGATAGAGATACAAAATATTCTTTTACTGGCTATTATATATTTTGGACAGTACAACTGTAATACTAGCTTAAAGCCCTTTCTCTGCATTTAAGGTTTTCATGCTGTGGAAAAGAGAGAACTTTTAATATTTTTTTTCCTTTTCTACTCCATCTTTTCCCTAGTTGCAGAGAGAGTATCCAAGTATAAAATGAACCTTTGTTAGGCAAGCAACTATTTTCTTTCTTTAAGATTTGTTATGAAATATTTGAAGCCTCTATTTTTACAAAAAAAATAAATAAATAAATAAATAAATGAAGCTTTATTAGTAGTTAGTTCATCTCTAATTTTATAATGTTAACATATTATCATAGTAATTGGCAAATAAATTTTTTTCTTTAGTTCTTATGATTTGTTTATTTGGCGTTTTGTCAATCTTGCTATTGTATCCAGCATGCTCAAAAACATGCATGCCAAGGCATTTCACTCGTGTGTATAATAAGTTTGTATATCCAACTAGTAGATTTACGTTATGATCTTCTTCCTGTCTAAAACATTTCAGGTAGATCTATAGTGTTGCCTCAATAAGTTTTGCATTAGTTTTTATACCAATTTTGTTGATGGATTAATGACCAATTCTTCTCCTTTTATCAATAAATTTTCAGGACGGTGCAATGGCTGTGACAAGCTCATCCAACATGTTGAGACCTCACTAAAAATTGAGTAGTAGTTGCAGCGTGCCTCCTAATTTGAGGTGATTTAACAGTTCAAAAGATCAAATACGATAATAATCACCATCTCAATAAGTTGATGTTGTTGTGTCTCAAAATGAGACAAGTATAGTTGTTTCATTACACTAATATATGGGTGGGAAAAGTGGGTTAAAATGGTCTTATCTGTTACATATTGTTTGAATTTGTAATGAAAGTATGATGAGAATGAAATGGATTTTATAGTTTGGAGAAATATTTTCAAGCTAGAATCATTTCAGGCATGCACAATACATTACTCCTAGTGTTTTTTGATTAACTTCCTAGAATCAGTCTGAATTTAGCAATACACCCTGTTAAAAACACTGTTAGTCACCTGAATTATGGTGTTTTTCTTTGCAACGAACTTTTTTTGGTTCCAAGTTTGCCGCGAACTTTAATTTCATTTTACGCACTTTCTCCTGCTAAATTAACCTAAATGTTGATGTTGCTAGTACATTATTATCATTGCCGATATATGCTAAAACGTGGATCATTGGATGAATAAGTTGTGTTTTTCTAAAGATTTTTTTTTTTATTTAAAGAAAAGACATTGTCAAATAATACTTGTTTTTGTTAGTTGGACAATTGAAAAGTACTATAATTTTAAGGTTTTTCTTTTTCTTTTACAATAAGCATGTGATATTTATTATTTGTGAGAATGGATTTATTATTTATTGTTATTATATAAATAAATTTAAAAACTATTGTGAAATGAGTTTGATACGTGTAAAATAATATATGTAAATAAAATAATTTATGTAGTAATTGTTTTTAAAAGGTAGGAAAACGGCAACGTTTAATAAATGTTGCAAAAAATAACGATATAAGTATAGACAACATTCAAAAAACGTCGCAAACAAGTTATTAGCAACATTCAAAAAATGGCGCAAAAAGTTATTAGCACCATTCAAAAAATGGCGCAAAAAGTTATTAGCAACATTCAAAAAATGTTGCAAAAATATTATTAACGACATTTAAGAAAAGTTGCAAAACGGTTATTAGCAACAATCGAAAGACATTGCAAAAAAGGTTATTAGCAACTGTCAAAAAACGTTGCAAATAAGCAATTCGTAACATTCAAAAAACGTTGTCATATCCTTATACTCTATATCAACATCGAGGTTTGCAACATATGTCACAACGTTGCAAAAGGTCGTCAGCAACATTTTTTGAACGTTGTAAAAAGTTGTTTTTGTTGTAGTGACTCGTCTTATTTTTACTCAAGGAGTCAATGTCTTTGTCCACAGCTTTAATCACTACTTTGACTGTTCACTTCTAATTATTACTCAATAGGTTTTTGGTTCTTTGTCTGTCAAATCTAGATAACTAGAGATAGCAAAAGACACACACGATAATCTGAATCATTTCCAAACCTTAGTGGCTCCCTAATTTGTTTCCTTTTGCTATCTCTTGTTAATTGATAGTCCACTAAATAATTCATTTGTGCTTGTTGATTCTCTTCTAATACTTCATAATTTCTGATCTCTATTTTTTCCTCTAAGGGTTGTTGAGTAGGTATCTACACCTCCATCGAGTTGGTGGGCTCGTGTAAAGTTTTGATTTCGTGCAACTTTGCTAGTTGAACATGGTATTTCTGACTAATTAAAGTTGACATCCCTGCTCATGAGTATATATTGGTATATTGCATAATAGTTTCCTTGCAACATATATATATGAGAAGAAAAAAACGCTGATTAAAGATACCCCTAACAATTTATGTTTGTACACAGTATTCAATAGTACTATATTTCTAGTTATGTACTCGATAGTACTATATTTCGTAGTATAGTTTATAACATTTCAACTTCTTTGATCATGTCCAGTATGGCAGCACGGGGGATTCACGCGCTGCCTGTTTTTCTTGTTCGATGAATCTGTCAAATTTTCTGATACTGAAACTAGACTATGGGTTTTTGAGGTTGCAATTCCTCCATAGCAACATCTTTGGTGTCGTTTTCTCTTGTTTTGTACTTGTAATACTTTGAGCAAATCAAAAAGTATCCCAAATTCACCACTTCTAAACCAGCAACCAGGTAATAAAAGTAATCCAATCTCGCCTTGTTAAGATCTTCAGACAACCAATTTTCTGTTCGTCCCACTCTCGTCGTCCGATGAATGACTGATATCAAGAAACTGCTCAAATAACTCGACATTGTGAATCCACAAAACAGGAAAGATCCTGCGAAACTGCGCATGTTTTCCGGGAACTGTTTGTAGAAGAATTCAACTTGTCCAATGACAGTGAATGCCTCAGAAATTCCTGCAATTGCCAATTGAGGTATCAGCCAGGAGCCGGACATGGATGAAATGGCACCCTTTCGTGGCACGAGGCCTAATGAGGGATGAGTTATGGCCAACGTCCTCCTGTGGTTTTCGACTAATGCTGATACAAGCATTGTGACTATAGCAAGCACCATTCCAATCCCGATTCGCTGGAGGAGACTAATGCCTTCTTCCTTTCTTGTCATTCTTCGGAGTGAAGGGATGATGAGCCTGTCATAAATGGGAATCCATATTGTGAGGCTCAACATCGTGAAAACAGAGTAGGATGCTGCTGGGATTTGGAATTTGCCACTTCCTAGTTGTCTGTTGCTTTGGATGGCTTGGAATACTACATATGTCTGCATTTGTGCCAGGACAACATAGTATATTATGCCTGCAATCCACATGGGAATTACTCTTACCACACATTTCACCTCTTCCACTTGCTGTATACTGCAAAGACCCCATGGATTGGCTGCTGATCCATCCGCATTGATTTCATCGTCGTCTGTGATGATTGCTGCTTTATTTAGGAACCTGAATTATGACACTTAATTACATTAATGAAATGTTTGATATTCAGTACGGGAAAGACTATAAAGTCGACCTTGTGATTTAATGAAACAAGTGAACGCCACAGGCTAAAGATTGGTACCTTAGTTGATCAGAATATGCAAGCTTTGAGTTGATTGAACTAGGTGAGAAGTGATTAAACAGATTACTCCAGGGTTGCTCTGGCAAATTCAAGTTTCTCTTCTTAAATGCAACAACTAGTGCTTGTGCCATACTTGTTAGGGGACTGCCTTCAGGCAATACTTTAACATAAATTCTGCTCCCGACGAAGAAGAAGGCACATGACAAGAACATCAGAAATGTGGGAATGCCTAATCCGATAGCCCAATTCACATTGGATTGCACGTAGACGATGATTGTCAAAGATATCATCATTGCAAAAGTGAAGGTGAAGTAGTACCAATTGAAAAAGCTATTGATTCCTTTTCTCCCTGAATCAGTATTGGGATTGAATTGATCTGCTCCAAATGCTAAGTTACATGGTCTTATGCCACTAGCTCCGACTACCAGCAGCCCAAATGCACTAAACAAGAACGCGAGTTGCCATGGTGTCGGATCAACACATTTGCTACTCTCTTCTGCTCCGCATTTAGGAGGAAGTAGAGCCGAAACTGCTGCTGTCAGTGTTAGCACTAGCATCCCCGGCAATTAAAATTACAATTATTCGAGTTTGAACAAATAAACACATTTGCTACTCTCTTCTGCTCCACATTTAGGAGGATGTAGAGCCGAAACTGCTGCTGTCAGTGTTAGCACTAGCATCCCCTGCAATTAAAATAAAAATTATTCGAGTTTGAACAAATTTATATTGATTCTACTGCATAGGATGAAGGATTATGAACAGAAATTGTACCAGGAAAGAGGAAACTGAAGCAATTCCGAGGATCTTATATCGGCCTAGATAAGTATCGGAGAGAAAGGCACCAAACAATGTTCCAAAATTGCAAGTTCCATTGAAGATATTGATGAGATTAGTGGCAGAAATAGAGCTCATGTTGAACACTGTACTTAGGTACACCAACATGTTAGAAGATGTTCCCATTGTTCCCAGCTTCTCAAATGTCTCATTGCCTGCAAGGCAAAATTTTGGTAACATCAGTAAAATTAGCTCAAAAGTCAAAATTAGTAAAATATTTCGCAAAATTCACGAACATTAACTAGATGCAATCTTATCGAGAGAGCACCGGAAAATTTTCTAAAACCAGTGAGGGGAGCTTGCACAAAACGCGACTCCAAGAATAGATCATTTGATACAGATTTAGTATGCAACAACAAAACGAAGCTAAGATTTCAACACTTTTTGTGGAAATTTACCTATAACAAAAGGCATTGCTTTGACTCCTCTATAATTAGGCTCTTTTTTAGCAACAGCAACCTCATTTTTCTCCATGATTAGAGAACAAGAACACCGTTTTTCTCTTTTCTGGGTGTCCTAAGTTGTACTTTTCAAAGGTTCTTTTTCTTTTACGTTGTATGAATGGCACAAGGCAACAGAGCGAGTATAAGTCTATTTATAGAGGGTGAACATAACAAAATTGTTGCCACCTCCATGTGATAGAAGATGCGTTGTGGGAAACTGGTTGCACGCGGATTGGTGTGACCGTGTGAAATTTTAAGCATACACAATTGTTATGCCAAGTTGCAAGGTAGGACAAAATGATTAGCACAAAATCTTTGAACAAACTACGAAAATTAGGACTGATGTTTTTGTTTTTTGTGAACAAATTGTGATTAAAAACAATGCCTACCAAGAGTGAAAAGAAAACAATGATAACATAATTTTTATTTTTGTTTATTAAAGTGATTAAAGAAACAATGACTACATAGAAAATTTTGATATTCACCAACCGTTGGATGCGGATCTACCATCACATGCAATATGGTGCCACTTAGCATTATTCTAGTTTGTTTGTTTACGTTGAACAGAGTAAAATCACTATAAAAAAAATAAATGTTAGGAACAAGGAAAAATATTACTCATTTGTCAACATATTAAGAGCTTGTTTGAGCCCAATTTTTTCTAGTTAATGCTATGTAATGGATGGTGAGAACTTATCCTAGTGAAAATGATACGTTAATAGAATATTTAACTAGTGAAGGGATTATCCAACGAGTACTGAATATGACTAGCCATTGTTTGATCTTCATTATCTTAAAACTCATTTTTTTTATTAGACTTATTTTCAACTATACATTTTCACAATAAAGTATTTTGCACGTAAACTTAAAACTTCTTTTTCACTTTTTAACCACACATTCTTCAAAAATTCACTAATACAAAATGCGTTATCAACAAAAAAATGAGGCTCAAACACATGCTAAAGATCATGATTTAATTTATATGATAGTTATGCTTTGCCCGCTATTTCTCCTAAAGAAGCATTTCAAATATCGTAACCTTAAATAATTATTTCTTACAAAAATATTGGTATATCCAAAAGGATAAAGCTACTTTGCCAGGGATTATTAAACGTGTGCTTTTTCATCCAATCATTTACTTTCACATACAATTATGTCAAGTTTTCTATGTTCCGACACAAATTGGTCACGAGTTGAAATAAGCTTGTGGCCAATTCTGTTTAGTCCAAGTCCCCCTATTTTCGTCATTTTAGCCTAAGGCGTGTTTTAAGCGTTTACCTTTAAGTTAAATTTTTATTTTTATTTTTGAAGTCAAAAACATCTGCGGTAAGAAAGATAGTCGTGGATGATATTCGATTTCAAAACCTTTACTTAGTGATAAATCATTTTGTCAGGTTAGACATTGAAAGTCTTGAGAGTGTTTTACTCTAAGGGCCAACGATAAATAATCTGTACATGCCACACTAAAGTATATCTAAATCCGAGGAAGCTTGCAACTACTTCTGTCAAGTAGAACTTATTAGAAACGATATACAAAAGACTTCCTCGATCGAGATCATTTTCGTAACGATCCAAAAAAACTGTGTCAATTGTAAGAACATACGTGTCGCCATGCTATTACTCGCAAAACCCATACACCAATAAGTTGAAAGGTAAAACTAGGCTACTTGCAAAGTAGTATTTTTTGACTATTATGAATTCAATATACGAGTGAAAGAGTTTCTTCAATCTTTAGGCTCAGTAATGGAGAAATATTTCAAAAGATTAGTAGTTTTTTATATGTTTCTTGATTTTTTTGTAAAGTTTTCGTACATTAATTTATGTTCCTTTGTTTCGTTTCTCCATCACAAAGTACCAACTTTCCTCATTTTAACATATAATGTTTAAAAAAAAAAAATTCGGGGCAGTGGCCCCCGCCACTTTAACTCCGGGAGCACCCTAGTTTGAAAGGTTGGCTCCGCCCCTGACTATAAGTTACATTATTAGAGAGTTGGGTTTTAATTTATTATTTTATGTTAATATCACTTCGGCTTGTCTAAATTTGCTAGATTTTCCGCTATTTTCACGAAAATGACATCGTTTTTTAATAATTAACTACGTGTACAAGATTTTTTTTTTTTTCATTATCCCTATTAATACTTTAGCTGGTCTACATTTTCTTGATTTTCAATTAGTTACATAATGATTCATGAAAATGACTTTTGTTTTATATTTGTCATTAATTATGGGTCCAAAGATTTTATAATTCTTCACATTAATTAGGTTGCATTAGTCCTTTTCTCATTATCATTAATGATTTTTTTATTACTCTTCAGAAAGGAAAAGATTATAACTATTTAAATTTAAATATTATGTTTAACAATTTAATTAAAATTTAAAGTATTGTATTATTTACTTAATTTTAAATACTAATATTTCATTTTGAAAAAAAAATGTCATTACAGAAAAAAATATTTAAATTGAAAATTCTAAACAACGAAGTCATAAAATCCTCTTGACAATTGAGACAGTCACCTACCACAATTAGATTAGGCCTCCAAATTTTACGAAATCACATTCCAAATAGTTTTACAAACATCTTCGAGTTATGTTTCATGTCGGTAATAATTTAAAATCTGATTTTGATAAATTTAATTTATTAAAAAAATTGCAATTCTAATAGGAAATTTAAGTTAGAGTGAAGAAATACTATCGATGAAAAACTTCGCATGTAACAAAAATAACATTAAAAATAATAAATTTTTACTAATAAATTTTTTTCTAAAAATAATATAGATGAATAATAAACTATTACTTTACAAAATTATGTGGTAGTTTAGTAAAAATTACAAATAATTTAAGATCACGAGCCAATTTTCAATTAGTAATATATTAAAAAGTATATATTTCAATCAATTTAATTAGCAATGGAGATTTCTTAAATAAACAAAATAGGTAATTAAATATTAATGAAGAAAAATTCCGTCGAAACTAAAACAGCATTTGTAATAGTTTAAATAATAAATTAAAAAAGAAATCTCAAGTTGTTGAGGAAATAATAAAAAATAAAGTGCAGAAAGAATAAATATTTCTTTGTTCGCGATTAGCAATCGAAGCACCATCATGAAATGTGCATGGCATTGTTGTCGGTAAGTCAATCTATATCATCAACATATATTTATTTTCTTTTTAAGTACAAATGTGGTCAGAAATCCATAATAGAGTCCGAGCACAACGACCGAATTGATTATCTTCATGCATAAAGATACTAGATTATCTAGTAGAATAGATTGTAAAAGATTTAGCAGGGATTCTCAAATTATTTGAGTCGCCTCAATAAGAGCATCTCTATTACGTCATATAGATTGATATATAAGTGACAAACAAGTCTAAACACTTCCGATTTACATGAAATTAATATCTAGCAAAGACAAGCGAGGCCAAATTTGGTCTCCAATGTATTTTACGGGTTTCAATTTAGATGTTTATTTTCACGAAATAAAATAAGATTACATCTAGACGGAGGTCATTATATTTTTTCTTTTGCTACTTGAGCTTAAGAGAGTACATGTCAACTTCTATTGTCAGTCAATTTACTTTTGTGGCACAATTTATGTTAAAGATTCTCTCAATTCGATATATACCACACACGTGTATCTTTAACTCAAAATTTGTTAATAATTTGATGCCAAATATATGAGTAGAAAATAAAACATAAAATAATTAACACCATCTTATTATTAAAAAAATAAAATGTCATCAACTCTTAATGAAACTTTCTCTTCAACTAGAAATGAATTTGTGCACATGGCGGCCCCTGTTCGTCCAGGGCCCACGTGGCCCTGGACAAACAGCACAGACGCCCAGCCAATAAGGGGGCATCACATGTGCCCCATGTTCATTCAGGAGCTTACGTGACCTTGGACGAATAGCAAAACCCTAATTAACAAGCCTTCCTTCTTGCGTCACAACCTTGAACCTATAAAGATGAAAACATAAAGTTAGCCATTATCTATATTTAAAAAGCTCGAATTGAATTTATATTCACTGAAGGTAGCCTTTGTCCCATGTCCAATGGATTATATTGAGATAATACTTTTCATGCTTTATCAAGCCTTTGGATGACTTAGAGTAGCTTCTAATTTTACTTTATGTGGAAGGATTTCATGAGGATGTCATCTTAGGCCAATTTTCTCTAAAAACTTTTTTAAACCAAAAACACACTTCCAAAAAATTATCTAAACAAGCCTAGAAGTAATTTATAAGCCTCAAAAATATTTTTTTACTTTGCAAATGCGATATTAAGTAAGTCATAATCCCTTATGAAATGCAGACTCGGATATTTATGTTTAGTATTTTTATGAAAGAGTGGGTTTTTGTTCAACCGTATTGCTTATGGACTATTTGAGTACACAACAATACGCTCATTTCAAATAGATAACTCTTAAAGTAAAACCTTAAGCGATTTCTTTTATAGCTTCGGTTGCAACAATATACTAATGGAAAAGGCAACAATATGCTGGAGTTGTGACTTCCAACTGACAAATGTATTATATAATGAATAAGAATTGACTCTGACATGAATCTACTAAGTGTGTAGACTAATGGTCGAAGTCTAGTGTAATGCACATAGTAGTATACATCACTTCTCGTATGTAACTAGAGTATTAGCAATGATCAAACATACTTCTTTTATTAATAAATATCGTAGTGACTATTTTAAAACATAGAAAGACCTTCTAAACATAATCTGGCCTTAAAAGATTCAAACTTAGTATTCAATAGTACTATATTTCTAGTTATGTACTCGATAGTACTATATTTCATAGTATAGTTTATAACATTTCAACTTCTTTGATCATGTCCAGTATGGCAGCACGGGGAATTCACGCGCTGCCTTTTTTTCTCGTTCGATGAATCTGTCAAATTTTCTGATTCTGAAACTATACTATGGGTTTTTGAGGTTGCAATTCCTCCATAGCAACATCTTTGGTGTCGTTTTCTCTTGTTTTGTACTTGTAATACTTTGAGCAAATCAAAAAGTATCCCAAA